ATTGGGGTGCAGGAGTTTGGATCGTGATCGAGGGCGGGAGGAGGTTGTGACCTAGGGCAAGGGACTGGGATGCAGGGTCTGCGAGAGGGGTATGGGCTCAGGATGGGGGCAGAGGGTTTGGGTTATGTGGGATGGGGGGATAGAAGACTGGGGGGAGAGGAAGGAGCAGGGGTGCCAGAGGCAGGCAGGCTCTAGGTGGGAAACTTACCGGTGAGACTCTAGGCCAGCAGCTCAGCACATTTCTCAGGAGCCTGCTCTGCTCCCATGTGCTCCATGAATAAGAGCCTGCAGGCAGGGGGATTGGTGCTTCGCATACTGCCTTTTCTTGAAACAGGCATCTTCCATTGGCTAGAAACCGGCCAATGGGATTGTGCTAGGGGCAGGAGCAGCCATGAAGCATCACTTCCCCCTCACTTCCTGGCTCACGGTTTGTGAAAAACAAACGGCCCTGCAGCCACTTTTCTTTCTCCCTCGCTACTTTTAACATCAGCCACCACTCCAATGTGGCAGCTGAGGACCATCATACCTTTTATGTGCCTCAAACATAATAACTTCTTATAATGTAGCTTTATTATAACGTAGCTTTACTAGAAAGCCAGTTGACGTCTTACGTGGGAGATTTTATTTTGAAACAAAGGAATATTCCAACACTGCTGGTATCTTGGCTCCATTTTCTGTTCTGTTCTGTTCGCATGTTGGAACTGAAAAGGGAGCTTAACATTTTACACAATGGTGTAAAACAATCAGCTGTAAAACAAAACTAACTCTTGTGACATGGTGGGTGAGGTGATCTCTTTTATTGTGCCAATTTCTGTGGGTATAAGAGAGAAGCTTTCCAGTGCCTGGAGCGCTTGTATATATTGAGATCAACATGGCTGCAACTCTATTGCATAAAATCTTTCCTTATGTACAACTTAGAATCGTAGAATCATAGGACTGGAAGGGACCTCGAGAGGTCATCGAGTCCAGCCCCCCGCCCTCAAGGCAGGACCAAGCTCCGTCTACATCATCCCTGACAGATGTCTATCTAACCCGTTCTTAAATATCTCCAGAGAGGGAGATTCCACCACCTCCCTTGGCAATTTATTCCAATATTTGACCACCCTGACAGGAATTTTTTCCTAATGTCCAATCTAAACCTCCCCTGCTGCACTTTAAGCCCATTACTCCTTGTCTTGTCCTCAGAAACCAAGAGGAATAAATTTTCTCCTTCCTCCTTGTGACACCCTTTTAGATATTTGAAAACCGCTACTTACCCAAGCGAAGTACACAGCTGACATTACTGACCACAGACAGGCTATGTTCTCTATCCCACTTACCAAGATCTTGCCACAAAGTCACTTCTGATTTTCAGTAGCTGCCTCCAACTTCTTTTCAGAGACCTTGCATTTCTCTGCCTGCTCTGCCAAACCATTCCACTTGGGTGCGTCTACACAGCAGGGCTGAACTGGAGATAAGCTCTGCACATTAAGCTACGTCAATTGCGTATCTTATTTCAAAATAGCTTATTTTGAAAGTGGGAGCATCTACACAGCACTTATTTTGAAATAGAGCCCTCTTCCTCCGGCTTCCCTTACTCCTCGTACAATGAAAGTTATAGGAGTTGGAGTAAGAAGTCTTCCAGCTTGACAGTATTTTGTTGTTATTTTGAAATATCCACCTGCTGTGTGGACGTGGACTAAGTTATTTCAAAATAATGTTGCTGTGTAACCGTACCCTTTGAGACTTGAAAAGAAAGAGCCAATATGCTTTTGGGGCAGGGATTATCTCTTTGTTCTGTTTATGGACTGCCCTCAGCATAATAGGTTCCTGGGCCATGCCTGGACCTCTTATGCTACCTTCACCAATAACAATAGTTGCCATAATTGACAGTCAGAGGTAAAGATGCCCACTACAGGCATGTAATGTAAATTGTGGGATTTTCTTCAAGACACGGCAAAGCAAAGAAAAGGATCACAATATACAAACAGAAGGGGCTTCTTTTAGGGTTTGTATTGGTCTAAATATAGAAGCTATGATCCTGCACTCTTCTCTTCAATGACAGTAGACTTCATGCCACAAGTTCCCTTCTGCCTGCAGCTTTAAAGCCTCCAGGGGAAGGGAAACTATAGAGTTCTGATGGTGTGGACAGAATGGCCACCAGGGCAGCTGTGAGATTTCCTGGAGGCCACTTATTTCGAAATAACTTCAACTGCCCCATCTATACACGCCCTATTTCAAAATAGGTGTTATTCCTTTTAAAATGGGGGTTACAGAATTTGAAATAAGAAGCCTATTTCAAAATTATTTCAAAATAATGGGCTCGCTGTGTAGACAATCACTCTGTTATTTCCAAATAACGCTATTGTGTAGATGTGCCCATTGTGTGGAAACCTATGAAGAAAATAAAATTGATCATAAAATTGGCTTATTAAAATGGAATAATTGACATTCTAACTCCGAGGAAGCTGGAACTTTTGCCTCTTCCCATATAATTTCTTATTTCACAACCTACCTACATGGTTAGAAATAATGAAATGTAAAACTGACATATTTATGTTTAAAAGCTGGCATTGACTCAGATCTAAGTTACCCTGGGCCTTTGGCCAGGGTAATTATGGAGAGGGTGTGGGAGTGGGTCCGTATGAAGTTACTCAGGGTTTAGAATGCAAGAATAAATTCTGGAGATGTGGATTAATGACAAGGGCAGATGACTCAGTCAGAGATGTGTGATAAGGTGCAGATTTGTGAAATTAATTTAACTCATATTGCCTCCATGTACAGTAAAACCTGCATTATCCAATACGCTTGGGGATTAGGTCATTCAGGTTATCTAAATTCCGGTTATCTGAGTCCCATCAACCTAGAAAAAAGCAATGGACAATAATAGTAAAACTCAAGCTTTTAATATTGGTAGTTTTGCAGTGTGAAGCAGTTGGTCTCACATTTCTATTTTGAGTTAAAGATGATTAGTACTCCTTAAATAAAAAATTGTCAAGCCAATCATGGTAAACCAAGCCTGAAGATGTGACAGTGTTGTGGCTAGGGGCAATGCCAGTTACTAAAGTTTTCTAGTTAACAGAGTGCCAGATAACTGTGGGGGGAGGGGGTGGTGGTCATGGGAGAAGGATTGATGCAGACTAATGGGAAATGAACTGAAATGTGTCTGAAGAACTCCAGTTAAGGATGGGAGCAGAAAAGAAAATCACCCAGAAAGTTGTGAGCTCTCAGTTATTATCTTTCTTAGGAGCCTTACTCATAGATCAAGACTAGGAATGTTAGCATGTAAACAATTACATGATTAACCAATAGGCCTGGGCTTATCAGTTTATCCTGTCCACTACATGCAAGCCCCTCCTTTGCTGCCTCTGTAACAGGATGTGGACGTACTAGAGAGGGTCCAGCGGAGGGCGACCAAAATGATTAGGGGGCTGGAGTGCATGACCTATGAGGAGAGACTGAGGGA